TTGGAAATTGCTTGGAGATTGAATGCTTTTAGAGGATCATTTTGAACTTTCTTTGGTTCCCTCTATATTGACTTACTTTTTAATTTTTATTTATTGATTTTTATTTTTTAAATATATTTTAAAATTGATTTTTGGAGAGGAAAGGAGAGGGAGAGAAACATCTATGTGAGAGCCAAACATCAGTCGGCTGCCTCTTGCATGCCCACAACCTGGGCATATCCCCTCCTGACTGGGAATTGATCTGCATCCTTGGTGCATGACACCCAACCAACTGAGCCACACCAGGCCAGGGCTTTATTTATTGATTTTAGAGAGAAGAAGGGGGCGAGACAGAGACAGACATCGGTTTGTTGCTCCACTTATTTATGCATTCATTGATTGATTCTTGTATGTGCCCTGACCTGGGATTGAACCTGCAACCGTGGCATATCAGGAGGACAGTCTAACCTACATGAGCTACCTGGCCAGGGCGACTTGTGAATTACCTTAATCACCCTGCAGGTGTTGTTTGCTGGTGACTAGGGCGAGTAGGTAGCGTGGGAGTGGGAGGCACAGAGGCCATGCAGTATAAAGGAGAATTTCTTACAGGAAACAGAAGTGAATCAGAGTCAAGGAAAAGAAGATATTTGCCTCTGTAGGGGAGGAAAAACTTCCTTCTACCCTCTTAGGTCTATGGCTGGGCCTAAGAATTAAACTGACTTAAGACAAATTAACAGGAGAAAAGCATACACATTTTTATTTTTTTGTGTATATAGGAGTCTTCAAAAGGAAAATGAAGATCCATAGTAGCTGTTAGGCCCAAAAGCTTAAGTGAGGATGTGGTAAGACAAAGGGGCTTAAATTGTGTAAATTGTAGAACAGTGACCAGGAAATATAAGGGGAAGCTAATGGAAGATAAGGGTTATTTTGGGTTTGTTTGTATAGATACATTTTGACTTTGACTTTCAGTTTGTGGTGATAAGAATATTCTCTTCCTGGTACAAGGAGGGTACCTTTCTTATGGGAAATTTTATGACCTTCCTTTAGGTTGAAAGGGGGAGCAGAGAGATTTTCCTGCACCTGCTATTTCTCTAGTGCCTTCAGCTCAAAAAAAACCAATATGCCAAAGCCTACATATTTTGGGGTGGCATGTTCTGAACGCACTCACCAAACCTAACTAAGGTGATGGAGCCTATTCATCAAAGCATCGAAAGCAGCTCTAATAGCCTGGCTGGCGTGGCTCAGCGGTTGAGTATCTACGTAGGGTTCAGGAAATCATGGTTCAGTTGCCAGTCAGGGCACATGCCCGGGTTGCAGGATTGATCTCCCCAGTCATGGGTGTGCAGGATGCACCTGACCAGTGACTCTCTCATCAGTGATGTTTCCCTCTCTCTGAAATCAATAAAGAC